TCCCTGGTCTTTCCCCCCCTCGCCGTGCCGTACCGATGCGACGGTCATTTTTCTGCCAGTTTTCAGGCAGCGTGTCGGGTGGCCCGAGGCAATTCACGGCCAGCCACATGAAAGAGCGGCCATCATACGGCTCAACTATTTGACAATAATATCCCACAACTTACCCCCCCCCCCCACAACTCTTCCCCACTTCCCCTACGCCCACAGAGGTAGGAGACATGAGGGGTGGGGGGGGGAGGTTGGCTAGCCAACAGCGCCTGCCCAGCGCCTGCCCACCACCACCACTTGACGGATAAACTGTGACAAGCGTGCTGTGGTATGCAGTGGTACGGAATGACTGATTTCAAATCAGTGATGACTGCCATAATTTTTAATCGTAAATGGCAACATTTTTTGAAAGAGGGGGGGGGGATATTTTATCACCAAGGCATCCGAAACGAGAACATAGGAATGGAATGTCCAAATGACTTTTCCTTGTAGCACCAAACATTCAGACAACGCTCTGAGAACGTTCTTTTGGTTCTCTGAAGGTTCCGTAAACGTTCTAAGAACGATATGTGCTACAAGGGCTTATAAACTATACCCAATCATTTTTGAGATGTAATAAGGTACGGAATTCCTCTTTGAAAGTACTATTTTTATCTTTAAACACGATAGTATCAACTAGATGCCTATTGCATGAAACAAAAGAAACGTAGATATATTTTTTTTGCGATGGCCACGGACTCGTTAATTTTCTTTCAACAGTGGATGCAGACTGAAGGCAATGGAGCGGGCAAAGTTCTGGCCAGCCAATGCGATGCGACTAGCTCAGCTGACCAGCAGCGTAATGCGGAGCCCATTCTCCCGTCACTCAGGTCAGGGACCGGCGGGCCGCCATCTGCTCCTGTCCATCTGGCCCCATCCGTTCACGCGCTTTGTCCTGTGCAACAACTGCTTCAACTGGGCGTGCTCTGTATTGTAGTAACGCACCTTCTACAAGTGTATCAAGGACTGCGTTACCTATCCTGCCAGGATTTAACCCCTCTCTCTTTCCTCAATCATCTCTCCCCTCTTTTTCTCCACTATCGCCTTTAACCATCGGCGACGCTTTCTCGCTGCCTCGTTGGCCACGGTTCTCGTAAATCCATCAAAATCCGTGAAACGTCTAAATGTCAGGGGGGGCAACCACCCCGCTCTGCTGCCGCTCGCGCCCCTGCCACGGCAGCGGTGCTGCCAACGTGAGCCAAGCCAGACGACTGCGCCACGTACGTCGCGGTCGCGCGCGAACCCCAGCCAGCACTGCCCCGCCTCTGCGCCTCTCCTAGCAGCACCCAATCGTGTTGTGACTCACAAGGGGGGCCCACCCTGGCCAGAGTTTGCTTCAAGATCGAGTCGCAGAATCGTCTGAAGTCGATAGTCGGAAGCGCGCAGAAAGGGTAAACGGGGTAAACAAAACATGGAAAATGTGGAAAGTGCTCCACAGCTCCACTCCACTGTGCCACGGACCGCCACAGCAATGATTGCACGAGATACAGCTCAGCATGGTTCCGCCACTTTTTCAAGAAAAAAAACTAGGACATGTTTGAACGAATTAATCAAATTAACCCTTCACTGACCTAAATTCGACGTGTATTTTTTTCCACCACCGGGAACGTGTTTATCGACGCGTCCTCGCGCCATGACCGCTACACGTGTAACCCGCCCCGGCCGCCGCATGAATCAGGGATCAGGCCGCCCCTCGCAGCGCCCCGACGCCAAAAGCCAAAACACTTTTTGGCGTCGGTCGCCGACAGGTAGAGAGGAGCGCTAGTCAGACCTGGCGGGCTTTGCTCTCCGCCTCCGCGTCAGAAGCGAGGACGACTCTATCAGAAACGACCTGACATATTTAAGCCCGAGTTTCTAAAAGCTAAAAGCTACAAGTTGGTAGTATACCTAATTCTACTTTTTTTAAAATTTTGGATCTTGAAATATACTGTAGGGTATTTGTATAAACGTGAGATATATTTTTACTAGCGAGTTAAATACTTTTCTGACCTATACACTGACAAAAAACATAACCATCCAAACGTCTAACACTTCTAATTGCGAGTGTAAGTGTTCAACTCAGCAGGGTCGCACTTGCAATACTGCAAAGGAAGCGTCTAGAAAATTAATTGAACGGTTGCAAATTGCACTTAGTTGCGAAAACTCCATGTGCACAAGTACTGAGTACGTACTGAGTTGAACACTTGCATGTCTTCAACGTGAAAGAAAACACTTCCAAGTGCAGGACAGTTGAACACTTGATTCATCTACGGCAGATGCTCTCACCTCCATGACGTCCACTCCGCCCCATGACTGGGATTGTTCGATGATAGTGGTGCGGACCTCCTGCTTGCTGGTCTTGCCCTTCTGAGGTGGACCAGCGCCCAGCACACGGTTTAGCTCCTCCGAAAAGGCCGCTGAGAAGAAGAAAAAATGTTCCGTCAAGGCACGTATCGTGAAAGCAGATGATACGCATGTAATGATCAAGCCTTGCATTATATTATTTTAGTACAGGATGTGGAGGTTTCAAAGATCTGACACCCACATTTACAGAACTTTGTTGCTATTCATACCGCTATTCATCTCATACAAGTTCCCCACTGCCGTTTTATTCTCCTTCAGTGTTTACAGTAGCATGATAGCATGATATGATAGCGTCTGGGCGACCGAGCCGAACCGGGCCGAGTTCCGAGCTGCGCTTCCAGCCGAGCGCCGGCCGAGCCGAGCCGGGAGGGAGGGAGAAAAATTCACGATTGGTCTTCGACGATTTGACGAGTCAGCTTTTACGCGCCATCGTTACTGATTTTGGCGTGTTCGAATTTTTTAAACAACATAAATACTGTTAGGTTGTTTTCAACAAGTCATGCGCGTTAAGAAATCTTTAAATTACTTTAAAAAATATTAGTATATATTAAACGAAACTACACGGAATAGTTGACAAGTTGATTCCTGTGTAAGAGAGCTAAAACGCTTTATCTGACAATAAAATCAGTACAGGTCCGAGAGTGTAACTAGTTTTCACCCGCCGCAAAGTTTTCGCTTCTAAAATCCAATTCGATTTGTGATTTCGACTTCTCCTGCTCACAAGATCACCCTTTACCCTTTTGCAAGGTCCTATTTGCGTCGCAAGGACCTGCGCGGGGAGCTAGTGGCTAGAGGGGCGTAAGTCTGGTATGCGCCGCAGGCACGCGTGTGGAGCCAGCCTTGCCCCGGGGTCGTCGTAGCTAGAGCACCAGCAAAAAGTACCCAGCGGAGTGTCCGGAACTCTCAGTAGTTCGTAGGATTTGGGGAGTATGTCAAATCTTTTACGACCTGGTAATCTTACCTGTCTTCCGTTTCGAGGACATTTTGCCGCTGCTTTTCGCTTACTGGTCGGCTACAGATGACATCTCCAATCTGAAACAGATAGGAGATAAAACGGTGTTAAGACCCACAAAGACTACTTTAGATGATTCAACTGACAATGCAGGGAACCTTTGCAGGTGCAAATCAAACTTGAAATAGCGCCACAAATTAGTATACAATACCACTTCAGTACACTTAAAGAGAAGAAATTTAAATGAATAACAATTACTCTTTAAAGGGGCAACTAGTGAAAACAGAGCGCCAGCCGGGCCAAAATTGCATGAATATTTTACACAAAAATCAGTGTTGGGGCCTTTTTTCGAAAAACCCTGTGAGTTTCATGAAAAATTTCAAGTTACCATCCGACTTATTTAAAGATAACATTCCAATTTTTCGAGCTGCAGCGTAGAAGTTTGTCTTATAAAGCCACATTAAACTCAAAATTCTAACAAATTGTTGAAATTTGCTTACAAAGTATAAGAATCTCTGTTTTCAATATATCGATAGCAAACTTCATAAGAAAAGCATTGGGGCATAGAATTATTTGCTCAGCGATCCAAAGCCCGATGCAACATGATCCAAAGGAAGGCTAGGTAAGGTGGAGAGACAGACATGTTCTTTCGGGTGTTTTCTGACGCAACGGTTTTAATAAATCATGTTCCTTTGCTTCGCCTTCCTGTTCTGTTGCAACAAAGTCTGTGCCTAGAAGTTAGGGCGCACGACTGGTCCGTCGCAAAGCAAACACATAGCAAACGTCACCAAACCACTCCGCGACAATAACTAGAAATGGCGGGTGACGGGCTCGGTGACGGGGCACAAGAGTATGGTGTTCATAAAAAGTAAACCATTTATTAGTTAACGGATTGGCCACGAAGAGAGGCATATACGAGGCACAGTTACTACTGCACTTTACTTTGCGCAAACAAAGATACCGTTAGTCGCCGTTAGTGTTTTTTTTTTCAGACTGCAGGGCTGGCCCGCCACTTGTAGAGCCGTTTAGTGGGTCGGATAGCGTACAGGGTGGGCCACAGGCCGCAGGGTGGGCCGCTGCGGTGCGGCCGCGCGCCGTGTGGCGGTGAGCCAACCCTGCAGGTCCAACCCGCAACCCGCGGCCCCGCCAGCCTGCGGGCCGGACAGGCTTGCAGGCTGCAGGAGGGGGAGGGGCTGTCGAAATTTTCCATACTTAAAGGGATGACACCAGATGATACAAGTTTTTTTGGTTCTTTCGAGAGGGACCCGCCGCGTGACCCCTGAGGTAACCCTACTCGTAACCCCACTTCCACGTCCACGACGAAAACAGACCCTCGTTATCCACAATAACTGCACTCTCACCCAGTTGGATTATAGTAATTTTGCGCGAATGGACATGTACCGAAGGTTTCACCCAAGGTCTAATTTTATTTTCAGTTTTTAAGTAGAACTGCTTGTCCTGCGACCGGTATGTCATCGTGACGCCACTGACTGACGCTGACGTCAGAGTCAGTTCGAATAAGCTGTCGACCGCGTGGCCGAGCGGCGCGATGTGGGAAGGCGATAGGGGGGTGGTAACGTCACAAGAGGCGTCGGTCGGAACCGGCAGGCGTCAGGCGTCGAGATGGCAGATACGGCCCTTTGTAGCCTTGGACCTTGACTTGCACGCCTTCACAGCCCCCCACCTTGACCCTGCCCGCCGCGCAAACCAGGAAAATAAAAAAAAAGGCGACACATTTCCCTGTCGTCGCTAAAAAAATAACAAGTTGCCAATTTTCAAGAGCTCGTGTCCCGGAGCCACCCCGGCCTGACAGCCTCCCCCGACAGAACAATTATAGACAGAGGATTGGCAGGCTGCAGGAGACAAAGCGTCCACGCCGCGCCACGCGACGCCCCGTGTCCTCGGACACAGGTAACCTTCGTCGCGGGCGTGCGCGGCAGGCTGAGGTGAGCTGGGCCGAAGCAAGCCGAAAGCTGAGCCGAAAACAAGCGATTTATTTCCAATCCCCTGGCGAAACGGCGGCAAAGCGGGGAAGCCACACGGGATACCGCAACGCATAAACAAAAGAACGACGACTGGGGATGGTTCTACAACAGCTCAAGTGTGTCTTTTGAAGAAAAGGTACCAAAAGAAAGCGACGTTAACACTATTTAATTCTTTTGTATGAATGATTCCATCATCAATGAAAGCAATGTTCCAAAGAAATGCCCCAATACTTTTTTAACGACGAACCCGTGAGGGTCGTTTCTACCTAACAGGAAAGCTTTTGCTTCATCTGGTTAAAAGATGGTTAACTGTAGGATGGCATGATAGAGAAATCAAGGGGGGAAAAAGGGGGGGAGTCCATAGAAGCGAGACGAGACCCCAATATGTATTCGACTAAATGCCGTATTCACGAAATCTGTGTCGGCGGCGTCTACGTGGCTGCCTACGGGATGATCAGTTGGATTGGACCTCAAGAAAGTTCCCGATGACAATGCGACAGCCGTAGGACTCTGCTCTGCTGCTCTGCTCCTGCTTGGGCGATGACCGGACCTTGAGACCCATTGACCTGGATGCGGACCCACCTTCACAACGTTGGCGTCTGGCATGCATTTTACTTGGGTGAGGGGGCAAAGGTGAGAGAGAGAGAGAGAGAGAGAGAGAGAGAGAGAGA